CAACAGAAATAGAATTTTACAACCGACAACTGTAAAATGGTTTTATGCCTCAGTGGTAGGATTTTGGCTAGAAGAAATCTGGAAATGTTAACTAGTATCTTTTCCTTGAGAAAGTTATAGAACCTTAGAGAACGAGAAAAAATTGAAAAGAAGTCAATGTATATAAAAAGATCACATAGTGTTACAGGCACTGGACACAACGGGGTTAATATAAACTGGTACAGAAAATGCAAGAACTCAAGGGCTTACGAGGAATTCTTGTGGAAGAACATTTTCTTCAGTTAAAAAGAGACATCTATATGTATTTTCAAATTTGCATTATTTTAAATAGTTTCCTTTAAAGAGATTTCTTTAGATTTAGTGTATGTTTAATTATTCCTTAACTTTGTCTAATTTTTCAAACTGTCTTGATTTTCAACATTTTTAAAAGCTTTTTAAAAGAATCAATATGCCCTAGTAAGCTTGCTTCTCGGATTTGAAGGTAAGCCTAAGGTGCACATCAACTTTTTAAGAGATTTGCTCAATCAAAGGTTAAGATGCATATAAACAGTGAAAGCATACTATTCATCATTTGTTATCTGAAAGGTAGCATCAATTGTGGTTGCTGCCAAACCAAAGAACAAAAGAAAATGATTTAAAAAGTAGATCAATTCTCAGATCTAACAATATGATATTCAGGACACGAGAGAATTCATCTAGGTGTATCAGAAGGCAACGTCAAGCATCATTCAAATGGAAAAAGTGGCTTTTCACTTCTCTAAAAACTTAAAACGCAAATGTAGTGGAATAACAACATCTTTTACATGAATATTGAAGTAGTTGCTTATTGAAGTACTTATCCAAAAATAATTAAAGCTAATATATGTCAAAAAATGATAAAGTACTTCAAAATAACAGGATGAAAATTCAAGTTAAAGGACTAAAAATTGCAGCTAGAACTGGAAATGAACGAGCATATGAAAAGAAAAAACAAAGAAATGTTTTCTTGTCTTGATAAACAGATGTGTGTGTGCTTGCGTGCACACTTCACTCAAGTATGGCCAAGATCATCAATTTTGTGAACAAATCAAATAAAGTTCTTCATAAAGAACCATCTAAAGGACATTTTCTCTGGTTGAAAGCTAGTTAAATCACGGTAAGTTCAAAAGGCCGAAGCAAAATATACATAAATACATTTTCCTTTACTTTTTTAAGAAGAATTTGTGTTCTCAGACCATCATTGTTTAAGTTAAAACAGTTTTAACCCACGAGGCAATTTTTTGTTTTTTGAAGACAGGGTCTCACTCTGTCATCCAGGCCGCCGTGCAGTGGCGCAATTTTGGCTCACTACAACCTCTGCCTCCCAGGCTCAAGCAATTCTCCAACCTCAGCCTCCTGAGTAGCTGGGACTAAAGATATGCACCACCACACACAACTAATTTTTCTATTTTTTGGCAGAGATGGAATTTTACCATCTTACCCAGGTTGGTCTTGAACTCCTGAGCTCAAGATATCCTCCCGCCTTGGCCTCCCACAGTGCTGGGATTACAGGCATGAGCACCCAGCTGGGAAATGATATTTAAGCAGTAAATACAACTGTGAAAGCTATGAATAGAAAAAAAGGGGCTAGAAATAAATACATTAAAATCGTAAATATAATCGGCCGGGCGTGGTCGCTTACGCCTTACGCCTGTAATCCCAGCACTTTGGGAGGCCAAGGCAGGTGGATCACGAGGTCAGGAGATCGAGACCATCCTGGCTAACACAGTGAAACACCGTCTCTACTAAAAATACAAAAAATTAGTCGGGCATGGTGGCGGGCGCCTGTAGTCCCAGCTACTCGAGAGGCTGAGGCAGGAGAATGGCGTGAACCCAGGAGGCAGAGCTTGCAGTGGGAGAGCTTGCAGTGGGCACAGATGGCGCCAGCGCACTCCAGCCTGGGTGACAGAGCAAGACTCCGTCCAAAAAAAAAAAAAAAAAAAAAAAAAGAGTATGTTGCAATAGGCCACACAGATTAAGATAACCTTTATAGGCCGGGCGCGGTGGCTCAAGCCTGTAATCCCAGCACTTTGGGAGGCCGAGACGGGCGGATCACGAGGTCAGGAGATCGAGACCATCCTGGCTAACGTGGTGAAACCCCATCTCTACTAAAAAAATACAAAAATCTAGCCGGGTGAGGTGGCAGGCGCCTGTAGTCCCAGTACTCGGGAGGCTGAGGCAGGAGAATGGTGTGAACCCGGGAGGCGGAGCTTGCAGTGAGCCGAGATCCGGCCACTGAACTCCAGCCTGGGTGACAGAGCAAGACTCCGTCTCAAAAAAAAAAAAAAAAAAAAAAAAAAGATAACCTTTATAAAAATTTTTAAAGCATACAAAATAGTACTGCGTATTGTTTTAATGATAGATATAAACGTAGTAAAACTATTAACAGATACACAGGAATTATAATCTCACATTCAGAATTGGTTACTGCTAATGTGGTGGAAGGTGGAGAAAAGAAAGGAAAAATAGTTATCTATACCCCCTTCCACGGTTACCTAGCTTCAACAACAACTTTCAAAATTCTGTTGTATACACTTCAGTGTTTCTTCTGTGTGTGAATATATGTAATACATACACAAACACATGGCTTCCTTTTCCACCCAGGACGAAATCTGAGAGGATTGGAAAAGTTGACGCCAGGCCCTGTGACCTCCTTTCCAACTGCTTCTTCCCACCCACACCCTTCTTCTGGATGATCTCCTCACACCCTGGAGCATGCTAAAACAGTCCAAGACCTCTGCAGCTGCTCCTCTGCCTGCAACCCTCTTCCCTGTTTCATACCTGTCTGACTGTTTTACCAGTAAGATGTCATTCCAATGTCACCTCACAAGAGAGGCCTTCCTTGACCATCCCATATAGAACACCCCCTTCATCCTCTACTCGTTTTTCCTGCTTCCCATTTTCTTCTTCATAGCCTGATGGTTGGCTACGTGGCATTAGGAGTATACTGCCTTCTCTCCCAGAATTTTAATTCTATTAGAACAGGCTTTGGTTTGTCTTGTTCACTGTTGTATCAACACTTCCTAGACTAGGGCTGGACATGAAGGAGCTCAATACTGACTGATCAAAAGAACTGTGGATTTCATTCTATACATATTTTGAGCCACCTTTTAAAACTTATTCTAATATGTAACTTTTATGTTACTAAACACTTCCTAATCACCATTTTTAAAGCTACACAGTATTCCAACAAGTACACAGGATATAGCAGAGTTTAAATAATCTATTGTTAGACATTTGATTTTTTAAAATATTTATAATGGACATTCTTTAGACTTTGATCAATCATCATTTCTTTAGGATAAATTCCTCAAGTAACAGGTCTTTAATATATATTATCAATGACCCTCCATAAAGGCAACACAGGTGTGCATGCACACTATGCACACCAACGGGGGAGCTCGCTGCATCTATACTAATGAGATGAGCACCACAGTGTTACAGTTTTACCCGTGCTCAGCTCCAACGTCTCTTTCAATCTTACTAATTTAATAAGCTAAAAAGTATTCATTTATCTAGTAATTTTGTGTTTATATTACATATAAAGTTACTCATTCCTCAAATCCACCCTACTATGAAGTCTATGTGAAAGAGAATTCAAAAAATGTCCCTCAGCATGGTTTTACTACAGGCAAACAGGAAAGCCTGACTGTGCCTGTCCAGGAAACAAGAATTCAATCTGTCTTCCAGTTCTCCTGCTTCATCTGGAGCCCTCTGGTTAGGGAGATGGAGCCTACCCAAGCCAGGACAGATCCCTCAGGAGCTGACAGCTCGGCTCTCCATGTGGAAGGCCACAACTCACGTGGACCCCGAGGACTGCACTCTTCTTTCACTGAAGGAACCCTTTCACTCTCTGCATTTCCTACCTAGATTCCTCGGGTCATCTGCCCAAAAGGGAGCAAATCCAAGAAAGGAAGTAGAGGCCAGGCGCGGTGGCTCATGCCTGTAATTCCAGCACTTTGGGAGGCTGAGGTAGGTGGATCATTTGAGGTGAGGAGTTTGAGACCAGCCTAGCCAACATGGTGAAATGCCATCTCTACTAAGAACACAAGAATAGCCAGGTGTAGTGGTACACGCCTGTAATCCTAGCTACTCAGGAGGCTGAGGTAGGAGAACTGTGTGAGTCCAGGAGGCAGAGGTTGCAGTGAGCCGAGATTGTGCCACTACACTCCAGCCTGGGCAACAGGGTAAGACTCTAGCTCCAAAAGAATAAAAATAAAGGAAGTAGTACATTTTTCCATGAAAGGAGGAAAGATGATGTACATCTTGTCTGTACAAGCTAAAAGTCAATGAAAACTATCAGCCAATAGCTTAAGACTATCAAGACAGCATATGTTTGAAATGGAAACATTCACTGACAAGCATCATTGCATCATTCGCCTTTTGAAAAACTTTATGCACTGAGATGTCAACCAGACATCGTATGTACTGCACTTGGATATTTCAGAATGCTCACCATGGTCAGGGTGTGAAGAGAGTAACAGAACAGACCCACAGCCCCATTCCCAACAGCTGCATCACACAGGAGGGAGCTGCTGATGACCTGCACCCTTAACACAGGTGCAGAATGACCAAGGAAAACCCCTCTGCCGCCACTCTACAGGCAGCGTGCTACCACCACGCTTCCCATGGTTCTCAGAGGGACTGAGTCACTCAGCAAAATCTTTTACCCCTCTGCCGCCACTCTACAGGCAGCGTGCTACCACCACGCTTCCCATGGTTCTCAGAGGGACTGAGTCACTCAGCAAAATCGTTTACCCCTCTGCCGCCACTCTACAGGCAGCGCGCCACCACCACGCTTCCCATGGTTCTCAGAGGGACTGAGTCACTCAGCAAAATCTTTTACAAGAAGTTCAGTGATGCACTGCAACAACATCATGTTTGTAAAATCTGGTCAACTTAACTTTTAACCATCTCAACTCTTAAAACTATATTCTAAATATTTCATAATTTAACTTAATTTTTAAAGTCTTTTCTTTTACCAGAGGAGCCCAGTAGGTGTAGAGATAGCCTATTTTCAATGCTGGCACAAACTGTGAGCAGGATATTACCAGAAAATAGAGATTCAAGAAAAACTTGAATTGTTCATACAAAACCTAAAAAGGAAAAGAGAAAATTAACAAAATTCCTACAAGGAAAAAATTTAATACCTAAATTAAACAGTTAAAATCAGCACAACATATAACCACATTTCCATCAGTGAGAATATGTTCTGATTCAAAGTAAATGTATTAATTTTCACATTGGCTTTCTAATAGCTATATTACAAAGAAAGGTAAGGTTACTCCCAAAATATATTTTAAATAAACTGAAAATAAGACAATTAGGACGTTCAATTATGTTTAAAAATGTCACCTAAAAGTTTTTTTATTTTTCTTATATGAGATTTTCCAGTTTTCCATACTCATTTAGTAAGTTTTTACATGAACATCAAAAAAAGATAGCAAAACCTTCCCAATGTTAGTAAGCCAGTAAATATACAGGTGTATCTTGATAATGACTCAGAAAATCTTACAATGGAAAAGACATATTAATCTTATATTTATGAAGTGGTAAAAAACAAATAAATAGCCACTTTTTTTTTTAACACGACATCCAGGTGGCTTTACAAAGACTGAGTGAACAAGCCAAATGTGAACAGGCTGACTTCACGAGATAGACTGCCTTAATCTCCTGTGGGTATTTACTTCCCTCAAAACATTAAAAAAGACAAAATATAAGAAGTTGTAACTGCAGACCAATTTTCAAGAAGACAACTACTCACCTACTCTTATGGTCTTTGGGTTGTTAATTCTTAATATTTTCAAATATAAAAGAAATTTCACCATTCAATAAAATATTAGGAATGTCAATACTGCAAGGTTTTGGTTTTGGTTTTTACTTCAAATCATTATCTTTAGGGACGAAAACCCAAGATCTAATATATGAATAGATCTCAATTTACAAATGCCTCTAATTATTAGATTTACACTGAAAATCAAAATGGAACAAAACTTATGTTTACAGATGAGAATAATTCAAACAGCACACCACAATTCAAATCAAACTTGCAAACCTGCAATTTACAAATCGCAATCTCTTTGGATGCCATTTCTATGCCACTTGGAAGGTATGAAAATTTCACCAAGCAGGGCAATGGGTTAAGTGCTCATTGCTGACCTACAGAGTCTGCAACTTGTTTTCAGAAAATGAGGTTATCTGCATCATCATACAGCGATGTGTGGGACTCAAAATCAGTTACACTGACAATGCATTTATGTTCATAATCACGTTCAACCTGCTGTCTAAGAATGTTTTGAATTATTTCATAAATTAATCTCAGCAGGAAATAAAGTGCTTTTTCCTTAGTGATTTCTTTAAAATCTCAGTTAGCATAAATTATATCTATTAGCAATTTAGAAATTGCCATTCGTGGTAAAAATGACATAGAATTCCTACTGTGTAATTACCAAATGTTTCTAAAATACTACATTTTAGATGAAAAGACTAATTTCAGAGACAATCTAAGATAAAAAACTCATATACATGGTAATCATCATACAGTCACATCCACAGGTATTTTCAGCATGCAGCCAATCTGGGCAGGCTGTGTGGACTTACACTGATCAAAGTTAAGCTGCACTGCTGGCTTTAAACGACTGTAATCAATACTCTACTGTCTACTGACTGAACCTGCTGACCTTTAGGAAAACGTACACTGCTTGGCCAATCTCTGAGATCTGTGAGTATTTAATAATTTAAACCTAAGCAGAAAACAGTGGCTTCATTCAATAAAGATGTGAATATTTATCTGCCTATAAGACAGTTTACATTTTATTATCCTGACAAAAGATCAGTCTTTTAATTATGAAGCCATTAGTTTTGTGGGTTTTAATAAAGAAGTACATTAGATACCAAGTATTTGCCAATCACTAGGTGGATGGGGATGAGGTGGGGGTGGGGGTAAAATCAATGCCCAATACAATGTCAGCGTGATTATTTAAATTAAATATACAAGACAAAGCCGCCCACATTCCATGTAATCAAGAGCTTTTCTTGCAAATAAAAGACCTAAAACATGCCAAAAACTTTGGTATAGAAATATAATCAATACCAGCTTCCTTTTCCTTTAGAAAGATAGATAAATCTATTAAAATAAGGAATGACATACAAAAAACAAAAAGTATTCAACTATTCCAATTGTATGTGAACTGTTGTATAATTTAAGCCAGTAATATCACTAGCAACAAAAAAGTAATAAAATATTTAAACTACAGTATTTAAAATTAACATAATACCCAATTAAACATAACTAATGATATAACAATATAACAAGGTCTGAGATTTATAATGTGAAGTAGCAAAGACATCTATATATAAATATGCACATTACAGATACTTTGTTACTGTATCATTTCAATATAAAAAATGTTTCATTTTCTTTGTGAAATCTCTTGGCAGGGCTTAAACATTACATTTACTTTTTTCTCCAAACTAGTTCCCAGCCAAACAAAATGTATAACTTGTTTTCTGATCATTTTATTTACCTTTACTTCATTATGTCTATACTGTATTTCTAAAATAATATAAATATTGCTTATCAAGAACTGAAGGCAATAATCAAACTGTACATTTTCCTGAGCTGTACTCTATGATGTAGCCATTAAAAATACACATGAATTATTTAACAATTATTGGGAACACAGATGGTTCAAAAGCAAAAGGACACTGATTTGGATGTGACACAACTCAATACCTAAGTCAGAGTCTCAACAGGCTCCGTCCTACAGCAAAGGAAGCCAGCAATGTCTGACACACAACCCATCTCCAAGAATGCAATAGTCTTACCCCAGGTATAAAGGTAAACACATTGTATTTTTGATTTTTTATAGAATTCCTGGGATGTTTTTCTTCACACTTTTCAGGACATCCAAGCCATACTGTGCGAGCTTTCAGTTCTTTCTTTCTTTGACAAATATTTACCAGCCAATCACAGCAACTGTATGAAACAAAAGATACATATTGTGTACTTTTTTTTTTTGCTTTTTAAAAAAGTTCAAACTAATTGTACACATTTAGAGCCAATACTGATTATTTCTGTATTTATCAGACACTAATAGCACACCTAATGCTAATCTGTGGGGTTTTTCTTATAACAGGTTGGTTACACAAATTTAAATTTGACATAAAAATACAAAGGCAAATAAATATACAATGGCTTCTAGAACCCCAGGGGAATTATCTTTCTGTTTAGACACTCTTACTGGCAAAATAAAACCATTAATATTCTGAAGCGGTCAATGCTCTGTATGTTGAGAAAAGGCATAGCTATAGGTTACCCACTGGTAATTCCTAACATACCATTCAATGATAAAAGTCCTTAGATTTCAATTAATCCAGGATGTGACTCATTCTCTGAAGTAATAACCACTTTTTCCACTCTTAAAAAATGACTTTTCCAGTAGTATTAACTAATGCAATATTAAGACTTACAGCTCAGGCCAGGCATGGTGGCTCACATCTGTAATCCCAGCACTTTGGGAGGCCAAAGCAGGCAGATCACCTGAGGTCAGGAGTTCGAGACCAGCCTGGCCAACATGGTAAAACTCTGTCTCTACTAAAAATAAAAAAATTAGCCAGCTGTAATCCCAGCTACTCAGGAGGCTGAGAAAGGAGAATAGCTTGAATCTGGGAGGCAGAGGTTGCAGTGAGCCAAGACAATGCCACTGCACTTCAGCCTGGGCAAGCCTCCATCTTAAAAAAAAGATTTACAGCTCAATCCAATATTTAAAGAGAATACAAATGTTTCCTGTGATATTCTAATGATAAAAGCTTGACTGTATTTCCACATAGCTCTCTTCATCTATGCAGTAAACATTTTAATTTTAAATTTACCCTGTTCCAATAGTGTCTGGGTTTCAGGAGCACTCTTCCCCTTCTTGGTCATCTAAACCATTATTTGGGGGTGGAGAGTATAGAGTTTCTAGTAAAGTAACTTTTCTTAAAATACTTCAGAAAATGACGAAAAGGTATCAAATTCATCTCTTTTAAGCACAAAACAATCATGAACTTAAACTTCAGTATTAACATCTTGGTTTAATTCAGATTTTCAAAATGTAGAGAAAGACTAAGAATGGCTTATTAAAGGAAGTTGTTAAATCTCACCTTCTAATTATATTCAAGGCTAGAATAGAAAGCCTGCTGTATAAATCAAATATTCTTCATTTCTGTGACAAAGGAAGCTTAAAAGTTAACAAAAAATTTTGCATAAAAATGACAGCATATGGCTGATTATAAAATGAGGCTGACACATCAGAGCTCCATCGCAGAACTGCTGTCTCCCACGCTGGAGTGCCACATCCTTACTACAATCGTAATGCTCTCATGCTTTAGAAATCACTTTACAAATACTGAAAACTTACAGGTTTCAGTATTTGAATTTATCAATTTGAATATATGAAGTAAACTTCATAAATCTCCCATAGTAGCATACCTTATGAGGCCGCATGTGTGTGTGTCTCAACTGAAGTTGGTACTATCCCTATGAATATTCATCTAATTCTCAGCTATGCTGGGAAGACCTTCACATTGAAAGGTCAGAGGTTGGTTTTTCGGAGGCTGCCCATCCCTAACAGGGACTGTTCCAGCATGAGAAGGACTGCCAAGCACTGCTCCCTTAAGCAGCACTCTCTCACGGGGCTGATGCTCTGCCATGGGGATAGCCAAGGAAGCCAGCTCCCCCCACCCTTATTCTAGAACTTCCACCGCAGCACACAAAGACTGAGCTGTGCAAGAATGGAATATCTTAGCACTGCCATCATCACTTTTGAAACAATAAACCCAAACACCTCCAAACTGAAAGCATACTTTCAAGTCCACAACAGTTATAAATCAGGGTGGTATTAAAGTGATTTAAGATTATCAAAACAAGTATGTTCACCATTACTATTTCTTGGTAAGGTAGGAAAGGAAATGGTCAAGTAGATTTCAGTAAAATGATGATGATATTTGATCTGTTTATGCTTGAATGAAAGAAAAATTAAATAAGGCTTCAAATAAAAAAGAGTAAGCTTTCAATGACTATTTCTCTCACCTTACCTGTTGCTTGTACTGTCCAGTTCGAACGCTCTCACATGCCTCCTTCCCTCCAGCACCCCCACTGTGGTGCCACGCAGACTGCGACTGCTCTGTGCTCTCCTCCACTCTGAGTCGCCTTCCCCTCATAGGGGAAGGAGGAGCTCATGGGCACTCCTTCCCCAATTCCTCCCACCAACAGCAGCTATAAATCATCACTCTTTTACCTGGTGACAGCACACACTCCCAGTGCCAGGAAAATCCTAGTTATGTTACCTAAGAATTACCATCTCAGACACCTGCAACTACACTAGACTGATGCCGGACTCCCACACTACATAGTTGAGAAAACTGGAAGTCCCACAGGCAAGTGACTTCTCTAAGACTAAACCACTAGTTAACGGCAGAGTTGAAACGAGAGCCTGGATCTCAACCCCCTACCACATCAGTACCATGTCCATTCACTGAGCTGACAACAGGCAGAGGCCAGCTCTCATTCAAGTTCATGCACCACCTTTCCTCAGCCCAGGCATGGCACCACAGCCATTCAAGAGATGATGAAAAAAAAAAAATGAATCACTTGTGAGCAGACAACAAAACACAATGGAAAAACATGGACTTTAAAGTCATGTTTTTGGAAACAATCACCAGCAAGTGACCCTACGGAAGCTCCTTGGTCTGAGTCTTTGTTCGCTCATCTGCAAAGCACTGACGAAAGTGGACTCAATACATTATGAAAGCGCAGCACAATGCCGCCCACAGAGGAAGCCCCCAAGGCCTCAGTCTTCACTCTCCTGCTTCCCAACATCCCACTCAAAAGGTCACCCTCCTCACAATAGTAACTTGGGCACAGAGAGTAGCCAGGCCTGGACTGTCCAAATGAGCATCCATTGGCTCCATGGGGCAACCTGCATTTCAATTAATTAAAATTAAATAAAACTTATAATCCAGTTCCCTCAGTCACATTAGCCACATCTCAAGAGCTCAGTGGGCACCCGGGCTAGTGGCTACCATAGTGGACATCACAGATGGAGAATATTCCATTACTGCAGTGAGTTCTACTGGACAGCACTGGCATCAACAGAGCACACTGCAAGCTGGGTCACAGGTGCAAGACAGGCTTCAAATGAACACATTCTCTTCAGCATTTCAAATAGAGCAAAATTCTTCAAGAATGGAATCAGATATGAATTTTTGCTCTACGACACATAATTATCTACTCTGACGTTCTAGTATACAAGTCAGACAAATTCAAAATGAAAAATCAAATATTTACATCTAAGTATTTGAAAAGATACATATAAAATTTAGAAAATATAAACTTTATAGCATTATCTGATATTAACATGTTCTTCCAGACAAAAGATACTATTAATGCAAGACCACTGTCTGCAAAACATGAGCATTGTAAACAACAGCAGCAACAGAAACCTCAACGCCAACATCACTGTCAGCAACTACATGAACTAATGCCTCACTGACATCACTCTTCTTTAGAAACTCTAAATTACATGCCCGCTGCTAAAAACATATATATTCAACATTTTACTCGGTTTTTCCTCTATAATCCTGTACCAGTAAATCTAAGATGCCTAGACTTTGATGATACAATTACATTATTCATATCACTGTGCTACTAACACCTGTTAACATGTAAAAATGTTATTACTAATAATTTTATTGTGTACAGACAGAATAAAGTAGTGGTTAAGATGCCACTATCAAATCATGTGTTACTGCACAAAACTGAACGAATACACTCGCAACAGGCGTGAGGTGTGAAAGGCCTGCAGGTGTGCCAGAACTGCCCTTGGATCACGCAGCCAGAAACCACTACGTGGGGGAGTCAGGCGACTTCCACGCTAGGAGTAAAGGGCGTGAGTCCCAAGGATACAGAAACACTGTAACGAAAACGGTAAGTTTAAGCCTCACTGAGTAGTAGAGCTAAAAAGGGAAAATGAAATATGGGGAATTTTTTGAGGACAAAAATGTGAGGAAGGCATACTGGTAAATATTGCAAAACAAGAGAGAGCAGCAAGCAGAAGTCCTTCGGAGACAGCAACTGGGAGCTTTCCTCAATAGCATTTCTATGTATGCGAAATAATTTCTAAATTACTGATTATTCAGAAACATTTTCCCCTCTGTATTTAAATTGCCTTACACCATCAAGTCCAGCTGAAACTAAATCCAGTGGTGTACAAGTTATACTTTTTTTCTTAAAATGTTTTAGGATTAGCAGCTTTTCATAAAATGCCTCTATAACCAAATCACAACATTAAACAAAGCATTTTAACACATCAAGAACCTATCTTCTAAAATTTTAACTAGTCACAATTAAATAATTCCCATAGTTTTTGCCTCCTTTCTCTCCACCCCCCAAAAATTAGACAATTATTATATCCAATTTAAAAGCAACACAATGCTAATGTCTTCTTAAAAGATGACATGCTTCTGTGCCCCCAACGTCTGCCAATTAGCTGAGGACGTTAGAACTAGGAATGATCCCAGCATTTGATACCTCCCCTCCCTTCTTATGGAAATGCCATTCACTGGCTCCACTTTCCTAAGGACAAAGTGATTTTTGATAACAGGTGAAATGTTAATCTCGTGAGAAAGACATTAACCCAGACCAGAGAACTATCAATGTGCCTCACAGCAGCTTACAGAAAGGTGTATTCACCCGCAGGAAAAAGATTCCGAGTTGTAAAAGACAGAAATCAGAACAATTTTTCCAAGTGTCCAAGTTGGGGTTTTTGTCAAATAAAAATGAGAAAGCAGGTCTCAAGCCATGAAGAAATTAAAGCCTACTCGCTCAGTCTTTTAATAATCATTTTAAAATGATCCTTACTACTTACAGGATCTACAAATAGAAACACACTGAAATATTTACAACTCATTAATATGAGTTACAATCTACCTGTATTG